TATATATATATATGTATAGTTGAAGTCTATGAGACTATCTTATTTTAGATCATCAATCTGCCCCTCCCGTTCGGAATCTCAAAAGGACAAGCCATTCAGAATCTTTTTTCAAAGTTGGGTTATGACAAACCCATCTTCGATAGCGATAGGGATTTGTTAGCTACGGACTTGATGCACATGAATAAAAATGGCCTTTGTAACATTTCGGTGAGTTAATCTATTGTTAAACACTTTGACAAATAAAATTGTGTTCAGATTTTTCTGGCCGAAAGGCATTATACCCACGTCATGTCGGCTCCATTTCAACGTGCAGTGATGGCATACAATCGGACTTTGACTCGGGGTAAGTGTACAACATTAACATAGATTATAAGGAGAAACTACACGTAGTGCTTATGCATGGCCTGATACGATACCGAAAAGTCGACAGCAACACGAATTTTTTCACATATACTGTTTATGTATTATAAAACAAAAGATCAATGAGTAAACTGTTGTACTAACTCACATTATTTTGAAATGCCTTCGTTTTCCTTTTCTACAAGTACTTCCTTCCCCATGTCAAATCTAGAAGCGACGTACAATAGGACGCAATCGATATACATTCCCACTGAAATATAATTAAGAGACTACACATGTAGTAGCGTCCAAAACTAATGCCGCATGTACGTGTTGCATCACTTACAATCGTAGTTTAGCTATCAATCGATACTGTATTTAGAGTTACAAAAAACAAGTACTAAAGATAGTCATAATCAATAATGAGACCAAAGTTTGAATCCGTAATGCACGCCTAAGTCATGTGATCCGTACTTTCACCGAAAGATCAGTATTTGTCGTAAAATCAAATACTGCTGAATTGTGTTATTGCAATGATGCAACAAGTCATGCATAGAAAAAACTTGTATGACAACGATATACGATATACATATACTACATACTAATCAAACATATATCCTAGTCAATGAAACTTGTATTTACATTGAAAAAACTTTGCACGTAAAGAGATTTTCAAAGTATTTGAGTGAAAATCATAAATTATGATTTTGCGTAACTTAGGCGTACGTTGCGGTGTAACTTGTTGCAATTCACACAAACTTTCTATAGGCGTCCAGAAAGTTTTTAACGTAAACGGTCGGTGTTTTCTTTATGTAAATGAAAAGTACTTGATCATATGAAGATATACAATGTACATTGTAAAAGAAAACAATCTTTTGGCGTATTACAGATCACTGGATTGTCGTCGGTAGGGTTTTGACACCCTCCGAGAGGGTCGATTACGACAACGCATGCGCCCTCAAAAGGCTGATTGTGTCGAAAATGAATCGAATGAGGGCTTCCGACCCAAAATATCATGTTTCTTTCATTCTAGTGGATAAGAAGACTATAAGGCTGCGAATAGACAAAGACGTGGGTTTGTCAATTGTTATTTTACTATATATTTTTTATCATTTTTTATTTATTATTTTTTATTTTCCTCTGATAATTACTTGCATTTAGTACCTGACTCTTGATGACGCTGCTGTGAAGTACGGCATAAGCACTGAAGAGATAACTGCTGAGCGAAATCGCAACGGAGGATCAAAGAATAATCGAAATGGAAAGAGAACTGCTCCACCTGCTGAGGGACCTAGACCTACCAGTAAACAATCGAAACCGTGAGAAGAGTACACAAAACATGCTCTCAAAGGAGCCGTGAAGTATTAGCCGTTATAGACATTATGTTTTCGTAAACTTAAATAAATCTTTGTTTTCGAAAGCAAATAAATTTTTCTGTTTGCGAGAGTGTTTGAGAGTTTACTTTTTGAATAGCTAAAACTTTGATAAAACTCTACATGCTAGAATAGCATGTAGATACTGGTTCGGTATTGGGAGCGGGCTGTGCCTCACATCACCAAACCTAGCCAGTCCTCACAATGAAAGAGAATCTATGAAAATAGTAGTAGAGGATACTTTTCATAAAAGAT